TGGAATGTTTCGTGAGGTGTCTCGTGGGCTGTTTCGTGAGGTGTCTCGTGGGATGTTTCGTGAGGTGTTGCCCAGTTGGGTATCATGAAAACGTGTACATGCTCCACATGTCTATATCCCTTTCCGGGTTCGTGGGTCCATCATGTTGAAGGCTGCCTTGGGCCGTCTGGGAGCCTTTTCAGAAGCAATGTCAAAACTATGTAAGGACAACAGTTTTGAAGTCGATGCTGGTGTATGTTTTCACTTTTTGAGGATGTCCCTAGCGAAATCGCTATTTTCGGAAGTCCCCCAATCGTTCTGACAGCCATCTTGACGTGCTTTTTGGCATCTCATTTCGTCATCCTGAGGTACTTCGAGAACGAGTGCTTTTTCCCGGAAAGGGCTCAGGCCCAGGGTTCTCTTTTAGTAGGTAAACCTGTCCCCCGGTGCCAACTTGAGGGAGGCCGGCGAATTTTTTTCCCGGAAAGGGCATGGGCCCAGGGTTCTCTTTTAGTAGGTAAACCTGTCCCCCGGTGCCAACTTGAGGGAGGCCGGCGAATTTTTTCCCTGATAAATAACGAGGTCGAAGGAGTCCGGCGAATTAAAATTTGAGGATGTCTCGAGCGAAACGCTTGTTTTTCAGAATTTCTTGAGGATGTCTCGAGCGAAACGCTGGTTTTGCAGAGTTGAGGATGTCTCGAGCGAAACGCTTGTTTTCAGAATTTGCTGAGGATGTCTCAAGCGAAACGATGGTTTTGCAGAGCCGACCGCGACGCGGAAAAGCGCCCCGCGCGAAGGAATTTCGATGATGTCTCGACTAATTCGTTTGTTTTTGTACGATTTCCTGGAATTTTGGCAGGATGTCTCGAGCGAAATGCACGACCCCACCGCACGACCACGCCCCAGCACGACCACACCCCAGCACGACCAGACCCCAGCACGACCCCACCCCAGCACGACCCCACCCCAGCACGACCACACCCCAGCACGACCACACCCCAGCACGACCCGACCCCAGCACGACCCTACCCCAGCAAGACCACACACCAGCACGACCACACCCCAGCACGACCTCACCACAGCACGACCACGCCCCAGCACGACCACGCCCCAGCACGACCACGCCCCAGCACGACCACGCCCCAGCACGACCACACCCCAGCACGACCACCCCCCCAGCACGACCACCCCCCAGCACGACCACCCCCCAGCACGACCACACACCAGCACGACCACTCCCCAGCACGACCATCCCCCAGCACGGCCACACCCCAGCAGACACACCCCAGCACGACCGATCGATAAATCAACAGGGTGCGGACACCCCAGCACGAACCCACCCCCAGCACGACCCCCACCCCAGCACGACCCACCCCAGCACGACCACGCCCCAGCATGACACACCCCAGCACGACCACACCCCAGCACGACCACTCCCCAGCACGACCCCTCCCCAGCACGACCCCACCCTAGCACGACCACACCCCAGCACGACCACACCCCAGCACGACCCCACCCCAGCACGATCACACCCCAGCACGACCCCACCCCAGCAATACCACACCCCAGCACGACCGCACCCCAGCACGACCTTACCACAGCACGACCACACCCCAGCACGACCACGCCCCAGCACGACCACGCCCCAGCACGACCACGCCCCAGCAAGACCACGCCCCAGCACGACCACGCCCCAGCACGACCACCCCCCAGCACGACCA